TAAGGGTCTGGCATGGCATTTTAAGGGGGACCCCACCTTTTTTTTTGATGTTGGAATCCCCCTTAAAATGCCTACCAGATCTAAAGGGTCTGGTATAAATTATCGGGAAACCGTACACTGTTTTTTTTTGTTTTTTTTTACATCGGGGTCCCCCCTAACATTCCTACCAGACCTAAAGGGTCTGGTTTAAACTAGGGAGTGAAAACCCACACTGTTTTTTTTTTCTTGTTTCTGTGGAGTTCAAAAGTTAATGAGACTTTTATGCAACAAATTTTCGTTTGTACATATAATTTAACTCCTCTGAAATTAACAAAAATTTTGATTCATCTGAATCCCAATGCCGAAATGAATTGACTTTCAGACCCGAATCCCGAAAAACAAAATAACGAAACATCCGAAATGAAACAAAACAAAATACATTTTTGCCGGCTTACATGTCTAGTCATAATTACAATTTTATTTTTTGTTTCCATCACTCAATGGTCTCTTAGCCGTTATTGACTTTGTACTCCATTTTGTACTCTAGTACTCATGGCATAGCTTCCCCTCGACAAAGTGTAGCTATGAGCTTGCAGTGGGAAGAGCTGGCAGGCCTTACCTTACTTGGCTGGAGTCCATGGTAAATAATCCATAAAGGAAGACAAACAGTCCGACAAGTGCGGCAGGGATCAGCATTCCTGTGTACCAGCCCAGCCATGCAAAGTACAATCCAATCTTCTCTCCGAAGTATCTCCTGTGCAATAAATCACACTGATCACATCAAAAGGGTCAGAGATGCTGGGGACAGCCAATTTCTGAAAGCTCACACGTATCTAACAGTCAATCATGTCTGCTGACACTTTTTTTTTTAATGGTAGGGTGATGCAGTAGTCATCTACTTTATGGAGAATGCAACCATAGTGAAATTACTGCTGTTACTAATTAGACTTTCTGCTGAGGATGCAAATTGATATCTCATGATATACCTTTGACATCTCCCAAAAGTTGGGTTGATTCAACTAACTCTAATGTACCATTTACACTATCACTATAAAATGGCAGCTCTGTCATTAAAAAAGGACACAAATTCAGGGTACCCCCATGTTCAAAAAGCTCCCCTTGGGCTCTATCCTAAACGTTTTGCACTAGCAAACTGTATTAATTCCTTATAAATACCAAAAGTCCCACAAAAAAACCTTGTTTATAAGCTGAAATTCTACTTATAACTGGGTGGCAAAGTGGCCTAGTGGTTAGCACTTCTGCTTTGCAGCACTGGGGTTCCTTGTTCAAATTCCGGTCAGGACACCATCTGTGCAAAGAGCTTGCATGCTCTCCCCATGCTTGTGTGGGGGTACTCCAGTTTGCTCTTACACTCCAAAGACATGCTGGTTAATTGGCTCCTATGTAAATTGGCCCTTGTATGCATGTACAATAGGGATCTTGAGGGTAGGGACTGATGTAAATGTGCAACTATGTGAAGTCCTGCGTACATTTTCGGTGCTATATAAATGCCAAATTAAATAAATGTAGCCTACTGCCATGTTTGTCACATGCAGCGGTGGAACTATCGCTATAGCGACCCAGGCAGCTGCTATGGAGCCCGGAGGACCTGGCCAGGACGAGGAACAAAGGATCCCCCTGATGCCTTGTTGGCTGCCTGGGTCACTATGGCATCGCAGGCTGCTGGCTGTCAGTGGCGGCTGTAAGGCGGAACGCCCCACTGTTCAGATCACTGACAACCTGTCAGTTATCTGTCCAGCGGCGCGTTCCTCCTCAAAGCCGCTGCTGAGTCAGTGACAGCCAGCAGATGTGGAGGAGAATGCGGGGGTTTCGGCACATTTTCGTAACTTTACGAACATTCGTTATGATGAAGTTAAAAAGCAAAAATACATTTGTTAATATTGGAGTCGATGTGGTAGTTGTTTTTTTATCCGAAATACGAATTCCGTTAACGGATTCCGGATCCGAATTTCATATTTCGGATAAAAAAAACTACCATCAACTCCAATATAAATGTACTTTGCTTTTTAACTTCAATATAACGAATGTTCGTAACGGAACGAAAATACGTCAACGGAATTTCGGATTTCCTGCCTGTGTATTGTAATGCAACTGTCAGCAGCAGAAGAGAAAACCTCTGATATTGGTCAACCAAACGAAATACGAATTCTGTTAACGGATTCTGTATACGAATTTCGTATTTCGGATAAAAAAAAATCTACCATCAACTCCAATATATTAACAAATGTACTTTGCTTTTTAACTTCAATATAACGAATGTTCGTAACAGAACGAAAATACGTCAACGGAATTTCGGATTTCCTGCCTGTGTATTGTAATGCAACTGTCAGCAGCAGAAGAGAAAACCTCTGATTGGTCAACCAAACGAAATACGAATTCCGTTAACGGATTCCGTATACGAATTTCGGATTTAAAAAAAAACTACCATCAACTCCAGTATATTAACAAATGTACTTTGCTTTTTAACTTCAATATAACAAATGTTCGTAACGGAACGAAATTCCGTCAATGGAATTTCGTATTTCCTGCCTGTGTATTGTAATGCAACCCTCAGCAGCGGATCCGTATTTCGGATTAAAAAAAAAATCTTGTCATGTTGTTCAACCTCATTTACAGGGGTAATATTAGTTCCTGTTTCAAAGAAATTCGGATCCGAAATTCGTTGACAGAATTCCGTATTTCGGATATAATTCGTAAACTGCCATTCGGATTTCGGATGCTTCCGAATTTACGAATTTCAGGAAAATTCGTACGAATTTTCGATTCGTAACGAAACGAATCGCACATGTCTACTTGAGACCATGCAGAGCCCACCATAGTCTATGGTAGGCTCTGCAGGGTCACTCTCAGGTGGGCTCTGTAAGAGGCATCACTAGAAATCACAGGGCCCCATACAAAATGTTGCTATGGGGCCCTGTGATTTCTAGTTATGCCCATGGTCACATGTTATTACTTCTATTATGATAGAAATTTGCCATTGCTGTCCTTTTAAAATTTCTTGGTGCCTGGCTATCATGCTAGTTCTTCATTTTTTTCAATTTAAAATGTGGGCTAAACAAATGCAAGAGGTTTGTGTGTATGCTTATCTCAGTCTTGCTGTCTTTTGTGTATTTCTTCCTGATCTGTGCAGTAATTGAGTATGAAAGAACTACACTTTGCCTCTGTGCAGGAGTTTCCTGTAATTTTGGCTATAGATAGACTTTAATAAATTAAAAACAGACCTGATTAAGTCCAGAGGCTGATACTTGTACCACATCCCCCAGCGAGCCCAGCGCTCATACAGTAAATGTCTGTGGTTCTGTGCACCGTGTGTTTTGATTGGATGTCTGCTTTTGTAACTTCCCTAGAAAATGACGAAAAATGTATTTCACAAAATCAAAATCTCAATTACTATGTTTTTAATGGTAAACCTTTATATTAAAAAAAGCCTTTATAAATATGAATGAAAACCTCTAGAAACATAAATTATACAGTATATACAAAACATTATTTATTTTTGGATAGAATTTTGTGTCCTGTTGGGGAGATTTTCCTTCACTTCCTGTCCCAGATACAGGGATCCCAAGGGAGGTGCTCTTCTCATTTCAGGGAGGTGCCCTCTACCCCAGATGGGGTGTGGGGGACGGGGGAGCACCCCCTTGTAATGGTGGCATATAGCAAAGAAGCTAATGCTTCCCGTGCTATCTGCTGGGGTTTTTTTTTGTATTCTGACAGCTGCTGCCATCAGTATATAAAAAAAAACAGCATAGGAATGAATAGCTGGATTGCTATTGGCTATTGCAATTTGCAATAGCCACTAGCAAGCTGCCTATTGTACCCGCCCTCTGCTGCTGTCAATCAGCAGAGGAGGACCTGATGGAGAACTTCAGGTCCACATCTGCTGATTGACAGCAGAAGTGGGCGGGTGCAATAGCTAGTCTGCTATTGCCTATTGCAAATTCAAATAGACCAGTGGTTCTCAATCTTTCTAGTGCCTGGACCCCTTGGTAACATTTGCCAAGTTGTGGTGACCCCCAAAGGTCAAATTTAGGGATGGCGCGGCTGCTGCAGCAACATCTGGAGGCGTGGTAGGAGAACTGACACTGCTGTGCTAGGAGAGAGCTGAGGAGGACTCTCACCTTGCACAGCGACCCACAGGTTGAGAACCACTGCTATAGGCAAAGACAGGACCGGGCTCTGCAGCTTGAACTGAAGCTGACAGCGCCAATCACAGGCACGGAGACATTTCCCGATCCCTGCAGCTGCAGACCGGGAAAATGGAATGCGTAGCTAGAAGGGTGTTTTACATATTTTTTTGCTTGAATACATACATCTCTCTCCCGGCGGCCGAGAGCCACTAGGCGTTGAATAGCTGGATTGCTATTGGCTATTGCAATTTGCAATAGCCACTAGCAAGCTGCCTATTGTACCCGCCCTCTGCTGCTGTCAATCAGCAGAGGAGGACCTGATGGAGAACTTCAGGTCCACATCTGCTGATTGACAGCAGAAGTGGGCGGGTGCAATAGCTAGTCTGCTATTGCCTATTGCAAATTCAAATAGACCAGTGGTTCTCAATCTTTCTAGTGCCTGGACCCCTTGGTAACATTTGCCAAGTTGTGGTGACCCCCAAAGGTCAAATTTAGGGATGGCGCGGCTGCTGCAGCAACATCTGGAGGCGTGGTAGGAGAACTGACACTGCTGTGCTAGGAGAGAGCTGAGGAGGACTCTCACCTTGCACAGCGACCCACAGGTTGAGAACCACTGCTATAGGCAAAGACAGGACCGGGCTCTGCAGCTTGAACTGAAGCTGACAGCGCCAATCACAGGCACGGAGACATTTCCCGATCCCTGCAGCTGCAGACCGGGAAAATGGAATGCGTAGCTAGAAGGGTGTTTTACATATTTTTTTGCTTGAATACATACATCTCTCTCCCGGCGGCCGAGAGCCACTAGGCGACCCCTGGCAAATCGTCATTCGACCCCCGAGGGGGTCCCGACCCACAGGTTGAGAACCACTGAAATAGACAATAGCAATCTAGCTATTGATTTCTATGCTGTCTTTTTTTTCCGTCTGACGGCGGCCGGCGGCTCCAGTATCAGTGTAAAAAAAAAAAAAAGACAGCAGGGAAAGGTTAAAATCAAGCAGAGTAAACCTTTCTGGGAGAAAATATCTAATAGCAGGAAAATCCCGGAAGAGTTGGGATGTCTGCAGATACAGAACAGGAAGTGAGAGAAAATGAAAACTGAGGGGAACACCAGAACAAGTGTCTCAGTTGGAACATTTTCCTTGCCCACCTATTCTGGTGATGACTGTCAACTTTTGAATTATCCATTACTTTCAGTGGTCACCAGGATAAACAGAGGATTGAATCTTCCCAGCGAGAGCATAGCAAATGATAAAAACTTTACAGCAGTTTCCTCACTACTCTATTCAAAACTTAAAGCAAAACTGAAAAAATTTTTTGGCTAAACATACACTTTAGCACATGGCTCAAGGTAAGAATGGACTTAATAATGTGCATAATAATGACAATAGTCTTTTTTGCTGTAAACTACCCTGCCACCCTGTCCTAAGCCAGAGGGTCTCTTTACCACTTGCCATTTGGAGCAATTTCTTCATTTTTGCACATACTTGATCAAATCTGAATTTTTGGCTAGAAAACAGCTTCAGACCCCTAAACATTATATATTTTCTGAACGCAGTGGCCCCATAGAATAAAAAAAAATGCTAGTTACAATTTTTTATGTTGCACAATATTTGTGGAAATGTTTAGCAAACAAGTATTTTTAGGATAAAATACACTAAAATAAATTTTAGTGCACAGAAACATAAAATATAAAAGATGGGGTCATGTGGGGTAAATAGATACCAAGCATGTAAAGTCTTAAAATCCTGTGCGCCGGTGAAATCGCAAAATACTACAATACCCCAAATTACCCTTAGGCAACACTTGAAAAGCTTTAAGCACTCATCAATTTAGTGTGCGAGTAATAATTCTGGTCCTAGAATTATTACTCGCCCTCCAATGTTTACGGGGATATGCAACATGTGTGTCACAATTGTTGTTTATGTACACATGCACGCCCTACGCACATGTGTTTATTTGAGTGCAGATGGTTGTGCTTGGTTTTAATTATTTAAAATTTTAATTTATTTTATAATTTTTTACTTTTGCTCACTTTTTAAATTAATTTTCACTTGACATTATTGCTAGGGATGCACCGATGCTGATACCAAGTATTTGGGCGAGTATTCGTTCTCGCCCAAATGCTCCTGATGCCTATCCCGATACTGGAACTTCCGGTATCAGGAAGTCGGGCGGTGAGGTTCTGCATAGGCACTGGTGATATAGCCAGGGCCCCACAGCTGCCCCTTGGGAAGGCTACATCACCAGTGCCCTCTTGGGAGATCTCATCCCTGACATGCGAAACCTGGCAAGATCTCAGAGAAAAGACTGTCCTTGCGCATGTGCCGTGTTATTTGTGCCGTGTTATTTATAGTGTGGCATGGGTTTGACAATGTGAGGATGGATAGCATAATGCCATTTGCAAGCATGGCAACATGTAAACAATAACAGCACATATGTATGTGTATCTTATATGTATACAAGATATGTATCTTGTATTATGTATCTTGTACTGTGAATGAACTGGTGCTGACCAGTGGGCCAGTCAATACGCAGAAGAAGTCGGCCACCGGAGATGTCTCCGAGACAAGTTGGTGGTGCAGATTGGAAGGTGGAGGAGAAAAGACACATTCACATGCGGGTATATACAGACACATTTGGCAAGTAACTATCATTATATCTGGTTTATTTGCAATAAGTATTACTCTATTGGTACAAGATTAAAATGACGGAGGTCCAATTTAACTTGTCACGCTTCAGTCTCAGATTCATTTATGGGTTTTTTTCTACTATCTGAGTACCTGCTGGGAAGATTAATTATTTCTATTTGTCCTGGTGACCACTGTCCCAGTGATAGAAAGTCATAGGAAGGCCAACACTTTACAGATGTCACTAGGGGTGCACCTATACCGATACTAGTATCGGTAGCGATACCAAATATTTGGGCGAGTACTTGTACTTGCACAAATGCTCCGATACCTTCCCCGATACCAGAACTTCCAGTCAGAGGAAGATTGCGTATGACCGGCAGTGCCGTAGGGGAACATGCAGCTGGCTTCCCGGGCAATCAGGAAGCTGGAATGCGAGTAATGATCCGCCTCCCGGCTTCCTGATATGCTGGGAAGCCGGCTTCCCGCCCAATCACAATAGAGCTGGCCAAACAATATGGATCCGGCTTCCCGGGCAATCAGGAAGCAGGTAGCATGTCATTACCTGATGCATGGCTGCCTGATTGCCCAGGAAGCTGTCTCAATGCCAGCAGAAGCACTGTTATCAGTACTCGGTATCGGCGAGTATCAAAAGCAAAATATCGGTACTCATACTCGATACCGAAAAACCGGGATCGGTGCATCCCTAGTTGTCCCCAAAACAGGAACAGAAGAAACATCTTCAAATGAGGATACCTGTTCCAGTGTCAGCTACCTAACAGAGGATTTCTGTTTACTTGGAGATATGTCCTCTCACTTCCTGTTGTTTTTCCAGCACAGGAATTGAGGGGAAACACTTCCCAATGGGACTACAAAATGAAAACAATAAAAGCTTTAACTGTTCTTTATTCTATCCAAAAACATTTAGCATGAGATATGGAGCTGTGTTTAGTGAGTCTCGCAATTGCTCCTTTTGGACTGGTGGGGCCCAGGCTCTAGTCAGTGTCGCTACTTAAAGCAAAACTTTGCCCTGAAATGAAAAACCTTCAAACAGAAAAGATTTTTATTGCAAAAGAAAAAATATGTCTCTTCTTCATTACAGCCTCTGTGGCTTCTTCCTCGCAAGATTCTACATTCTCAGCACTCCTTGGTGCAAGGATAAATGAACTGGGCATGCATAAGTCATTCTGGCTCGGCAATTTAAGATGGCCAAAGACCCTGAACCCGGAAGAATCCGGGAGGGCATGTCAGCGTCAGCGAGGGAGCTTAATATTATTTCTTCTTCCAGCACTAATAGCTCAGATTGTAAAGAGTTAAATACAATTTTAAAAAAAGTAAAACACTTGGATAGTTTTACCTCATGTGGTGGAAATGCTGCTTCATATGTTCCATTACTCAGCAATCTGTTTATGCCTGTGGGGATACAAACACATTAATGGCTCTTCTTGATCCACATTTCAGAAATGTTGTTTTGCCTTCAAAACTATTTCAACCATTTACTTATGCTTTAAATGCTTGAAAAAGTGTCAGCAGGTTACCACGCTAGTCAAGGTATTGACGTTCATAAACCTGATTTGTCGTAAGGCATTGCAGAATAGTAATGTTTCATTCAGAATATGCAGTATAACCTGGAATATTGTTTAAGGCTCAACAATCTGACGTTAGTCATGACATTTAGGATGCCCTCATAGGGATGGCAAGATCTGGGGTTCTGCTCACTTGGGTTAACTTTAACCATTTTTACTGGCGATGTATGGCCTTCCATTCATTAGAAGACACCCCAAGTGCCACACACACATGGATGAACAAAACTGCAAGTTTCAAAAATTGAGCAAAAACTTTAAGATTTTGGCAAAATGTTGCCATTTTGACAAGATGCTTTGTAATCAATTGGAAAGATCAAATTAAATTATTTTGTGGTTTTTAAAGCCTTACCACTGGTAGAAACAGCCCTTAAAGTGGGCTATGATAGGGTGGGCTACAGTACACAAAAAGGAAGATATAGACTCAAAGGAAAAAACACAAATACAAGAACACTCAGGGCTCGTTCACATTAGTGCAGAGACTTGCATTTTGCCGCAGAAGAGCTCCCCTGGAGGTCACAGTCAGTCATCACAATACAACTCAATGCATTATGTTTAATAAATGTCATTTTATTATGCTTTAATAAAGAAAAAAAATATATAAACAGTGCAATGTGATGAAACAGTGCAAGGCATCGCCGTCCACACGTAGTGGACACTAGACCGCATGGGAAAACGCTGTGTGTTAGTGTGAACGGGCCAACAATAAATTAAATGAAACTACCCTAAAATATTCCCCAAAATATTCCCCAATCACAAACACCCTCTAAATTAGCGGGAAAATGTTAATTTGTTTTTGGTTTTTTTTTGCACAAGGAAGTGCCGCTGAAGCAGCCCAATGAAATTGAGAATTTTCGCTTCCGCAAACTTTTGCCAACAGTGAAAGTGGTAATTTTGCAGAAAAATATGTTTAATCAAAAATCATCATTTTCATGCCTAATAACAAGGCATATTGTACGTCAGCATAGCTAGTCAGCAGACCAAAAAAGATGCAAAACTGCGTTCCTGGCCCTCTGATGTTTGCTGACATTCTGTGTGTCTTGTGGTAATCTCAGTTCATTAGATAGATAGGGGATGGGGGCTCACAGACAACTGTCAAAATCAGCACAGGAGAGCACATGTACAAATCTCAAAACTTCATGCCAGGGCAAAGGTACCATAAGGAAAATACGCTGTAATAATATATTGAGCTCTCATGTTTGGAGCCATCTCCAGGGTCTCCAGTGTCAGGAAAAGGCCCTGTACAAGTCTATGAAGGCTCAAAGCAGGCCCAGGAAGCAGTAAAGACTAAAGCGGATGTCCTATTCTGGTATGCAGCTGGGGCTGAGGGAGTGTTAGTAGTGATGAGGCTGGGCTTGGTGTGAATCCAGTTTGCATGAGTTCGCCCAAACCAACTCAAAACTCTGATTGTCACCCCCTCCTCCTGTCCAAATCAGTGCCGGAAGTTTTGATGGGGGCATCCTCTGCCCCTTTGTGATGTGTAGCTGAGGGGAATGCACCTCCCCGCAACTGAAACTGATTAGGTCAGGAGGAAGGGGTAGTAGTCAAAGTTTTGAACAGGCTTGGACGAACTCAGGTGAACTAGGTTTGCACCAAGCCCACCCTTATCAGTAATTATTAGTTTAGGTCAAGAGGTATAGTAGTACTAGTAGCCGGAATTGAGTGGTTGTGCCCTCTAGTGGCTAATCTAGTTATCTCTATATTTAATACTATAATAAAAAATACAAAGGAACAACCATGTAAAATGTAAAAAAAAAACAAATAAACTTTAAAGTGACCTTGTCACTCAAGTCAAATAAGCCCAGCCTGTAAAATAAAATGCTATATGCTTACCTTTCCGTGGGCTTGTGTATTGAAACTCTTCCATTGTGCTGCTCCCCAACCTCTGTGGCTATTTGTCACTAAAGGTGGCCATACACTCTAGAACCCTCGCAAGACTTTTGTCTTGCGAGGGGTGTAAAGTACTTAAAAAAACGTACGATCTGCCCATCTTGGACAGGCAGATCGTACTTGCGATCATCGCAAGCCCGCCCCCCTGAGGGGCGGGCTTCCGATGACATCAATGCTGAACGGGCAGTGTGCGCGTGCGCACACCGGCCCGTTTGGCAGTAATCTCTCGATCATGTTAAAAACCAGCCGAAAATTGTACGATTCTAGGCTGGTTTTCCAACATGCTTGATATACAAAAGTCGTGCGACGTACATTAGAAACGTTTGCACGCCTTCCAAACACTGCACGATTCTCGTACGATCGCGGGATTTCCCGCGATTCTCGTACGAGAATTATGCAGTGTATGGGCACCTTAAGGCTGGCCATACACCTATAGATTTTCGATCGGAAACTTTAATTGCTGCCAAGAACCCACGTTTGATTCTAGTTCATAGCCCATCAAGCACAGACCAATGTCGATTTCAATAATCGCTTGATAGTAATACTAACTCACTGAATTTTGTCGATCGACAGAACCGATTTTTGTTTGCGCATGTGCAGTATTCTTGCTGTGATTTTTTTCGTATGAAAACGCCACTAATCCATCGATTTTTGCTTGATTCGAAAAAAGTTTTACAGCCTCACCCTTCCAGAAAAGTTGAGCGGGATTACAGTAAAAAAATTGTTGCTGTCCCATCAACTGTTCGATTATCATCTAAAAGAACATTTGTGGAAGATTTCCAAACTAAAATCGTAGAGTGCATGGTCACCTTTAGGGTGTGTGAGTATCTGCACCCGTGACAGATGTTGTGGTTCCTTCCACTGGCTCCTACATAATTACTGGACCTTTGAGCCGGTGGGAGGAACCAAAGCATGTTTCAAGGGAGCAGGTATTCAACCCACCCAAAATGTCAATACCTGCAGCAGATGGGAGGTAGCCACACTATGGAGTTTTTAGTACATTACTCACCAGAAAGGTAAGTATACAGCATATTCTTATACAGGCTGGACTTATATGGCTTTCAACCCTGTATTGACAGTTTCACTTTAAGATAAATCCTGGAATTATAACTCAAAAATATGTGCTCACTGAAAATCCAATATTTTATTTTGTAGCTAAAATGAAAAGAAAAGCGATCTTACCCATTTTCGATTTTCCATCTTCATACTTTGTCCTCTGTAATACGTGATGTACTATGCGGCTCCGTGTTGAGTTACTGAAGAATGTGTCTTTATTGTTTATTGTGAAGCTGTTAGAGAAAAATTTACAGTATGTCATAAAAGCTGTCTCTAGCACCAGGGCTTACAGGAACAGCAGATCAACTATCAAAAAACACTCTTTCCATTCATTGGATTTCCAATGTTTCAATCATGGAGGCTCAGCATGGCATTACCTAGTGTGGTCTGCATGCAAATGCAATCTGCCAAGGAACTTCCACTCCTCCACACTGACATCTACCCATGAAGGTATTTTGATATTTGCATGACTGCTCCCAAAAGCCAGTCTACTGCTTTTATCAGGACTGAGAGGAGTACTGAGCCCGGGTGCCGATATGTTTTCAGGAAGCTTTTGGGCATTTGGGTTCTCCCTTAAAGGGACAGGTATGACTTTTGGGGGGGGGGGGACCTACGCATTTTTAATTTATTTTATTTACTCGTGGGTCCCTAATAACATTCTTACCAGACCTAAAGGGTCAGGCATGGTTTGGGAGGGGACCACCACGTCGTTTTGTTTTCTTCTTTTGTTTACATAGTCAATTTTCCTTCTGTTTGCATTGGGGGCTGACACCCCGTGATACCTTGGCTTCATGATAATTTCTTTATTATGTGGACTGTGTAAACATCTTCAGGATTGCAGTTCAACAATCTCGGTTTTGAACTAAGGGGTAGTCATTTAGGATGCTAGTAATATGAGAAAGGAATGTTTTATATTAACTATTTAACATGCCATTGTATCTTTTGTATCAATAAATATGTAATTTTTATATATCTATGTGAAGTGACCATGAGTGGTGTTTTAATACCAAAAAAAGCCCACTTTTTCCTTTTGTTTTTTGATAATTCCGTAAACCAACCAGCCTTTTGAACATAAAAATGACAGCTAACTTAGTAGAGTTGTCCATGCATCAACGTTATATTTATATTATGCATTATGTGCACGGGTCTAATTATTCAGTTAGTGGTAATAGCATTTTGCTCACAGGCACTGTTTGTTATAGCTGTAAAAGCCCTGTAAATGATGTTTACTGTTTGTTATGAGGCACTGTTTGTTATAGCTGTAAAAGCCCTGCAGATTTGAGAATTGATTCTAGAGGAGGTTCTGCCCACAAGACAACTTCTACCTGCTTAAGGAATATTTGTTTGCTTGATAATAGCGCACTTATTTTATAGCAGCCTAAAGAAGGCTAAAGAAAAGTATACTTGAGTTAAAAGGGTGTGTTAAACCTTTGTTTCTAAAGAAAAAACTATTCCGTCAGTTTTATAAAGCACAACAGTGTAGTTTACAAATGTTCTCTCTACTTTACTTGCTATGGGACTCTAAATCATGCAACACCCCATTAATTTTAAAGTGACACTAAGGTCAGGAGTTAAACCTTAAAAATGCATTCAAGTACCTTATCTATTAAGAAAAATGTATCTTATTTGTGTATCACTCGGCTGTAGAGTCTCAAATCATCTCTCAATTGGTGTTGACACTGTCCTTCCTTCTGGTGGGTGGCATTTTCCCTGTGGTTCCTGTGTGTGTTGTAACGTAGCATCCGCTGCAAGCTTGCTCCTGTGATGGACTATAATGTCAATATAAATTAGTAAACTAAACATGAGATTGTAGTCCATGACAGGAGTGAGCTTGGAGGGGTGGCTACTTTACAACACACACTCAGGAACCATGGAGAACAAAAGTAGCCACCCTCCAGAAGGAAGGACAGGGTCAGCACCCATTCAGAGATGATTTGAGGATATACAGCTGAGTGACACACAAATAAGATCCAGTTTTGTTAATAGTTAAGGTACTTGAATGTATTTTTAAGATTTAACTAATAAGTGTAGTGTCCCTTTAACTCCAGCCAAGTAGCTAAATACTGTGTGGAAATACTGTTCACATATAGGATCTGTTTGTGACTTACAGCTTGGTCACCTCTCTGCCTACAGCCTCTGAATGGACAAAGAAGGAGCAGCTGTGGACTAATCAGGTCATCTCTCTTGTTTGTTTTGTCAGCACATTTCTTGGTTTTATATTAAAATCTGCCTTGGGTTCAGCTTCAATATACCCAGTTATTATATCAATGCAAACTCCAATATAAGTTTAATTTTTAAAATCCATATTAAGAGATGCTTAAACGTTTCCATTCGGTGTTCTTACTCATCAATTGCTTTGAGTAAGGACACCATTCCATGAATGACCAGGCAGTTCTGTGCAACTCATAAAATAAATACGTGCACTTTGCATCCATTATTGTTTGCTCCTTATAGGCTTACATAACAAGGACATATACCTTGTTAATGAAACAAGGGGAATCCTGCTGCCTCAGGGCATGCACTGACTTTTCACTGATCCGTGGCAGTTTCTATGCTGTCATGTTTCAAATAGGAGCTTGCTTTTAATTTAACCTGAAGCATTTGTATAAAGAACACTCCATACTTAAGCAGGCCACACACCTATGGATTATATGCAGATTGTCTATGGTCAGATGGAAAAAGTGCAACATATTCCTCCATCTATGCTAAACTGTGTGGATGGAGAAATCTCCCAAGCTTCAGTATCTTGCCAGTCACCACCGCTGGCTCTCAAAATACCTGAACAATGCCTGCATCCAATAAGATTGTTGAGGTATTTTGATACCAGTGGGGCCAACTAGCAAGATACTGAAGCTTGGCAGAGTGGGAGATTCCTCCATCCACACAGTTTAGAGTAGATGGAGGAATCTGTTGCACTTTTTCCATTTGACCATAGAAGATCCAACAGGGACTGGTTAAGCAGGCTCAATGTAACTTAACTATATATATTATATTCACGTCCATGATCTGATACCAAACATTAGTAGCCCTACATCCTGTTTGCTTTGCAAGGGAATTTGCACTTTGTATGGGAATTTCCCCCTCAGTATCTTGAAGTTCTACCGTCTTCCATCATCCAATCATGTGCAAACAAAGATACATTTATTTTTATTTAACTGGCTGTCATGCAGAGCAAATATTTAAATACTTTGAATTAGTGGCTTAGCACAAAAAATAAGAACTTCTGTCAGTAACAGTAGCCCCCATGTTTTCCTCTTGACACGTTTACTTTTAAGTAACCTTCATCACAAGTTATGGACCACGTGCTGTTCCAACATTTCAATTGATGAGGCTTCAGTGAGTTTGTATTTATAAAATCCGATCTGTCTGATACACACAGATCACACAACGCCCACCTAAAGCTGTTCTAATTAACTTGCAGAGCATTTGTTGGAGTGATGATACCATTGGGTACTTAAATCCAAGCAGATTTTACACTTGTCTTGTTATGAAACATGATACATTTATCACAACCACCCATTTAGGATGGATAGATTTCTCATAATATCAGAACACCCATTTGGTGGAATTGGCACATGGAATATAGCTACAACACTCTTTTGTATGTTAACAAAAAGCCTATTTGTATTGCTGCAGAAGAAATGAGTGTTTAGCTGTATAACACAGTTGGGGTTCCTTTACCTTAAATGACCAATAACCCAAAGAGAACCTGTATTGTGGAAGCTGTGCCTAGGCAAGCAGAGGACAAAAGACCATTCTTGCCTTTAGTCTCCATATAGCTGATCCTTTCCCAATTGCC